GTGGAGTAAGTAGAAGGGCCACTTCCTTTCAGTGGGGCCATGACCAAGAGGATGCCACAAAGGCCTTCCAACAGGCCACCACGCTGCCCTTCCCTGGGCCCTCTAATCTATATCAGCTCTTTGATTTACAGAACTTAGCAACATCCCTATTCACTGAAAGAAGGTAGGCAGAAGCCACTGATACAGGTCAGAAGCACCCCCTTGGGCTTCTAAACCCATATCTCCAGGAGTCAGATGAAAGGTACACATTCTTTCAGAGACACTTAGTGGCCAGTTACAGGGCCTTAGTGGATACTGAGTGGTGGCTCTATAACTACAAAGTAACCATGGGACAAGAAATACCAACCAAAGTCTATGAATTCTTCTGGGTTTGTCCTCTAGTTCTCTTTAGGTACTTAAATTGTAGGTCAAGGTATGATTTCTATAAATCAAATATATATTTATATATATTTATGAACTAAAAAAAAATCTTCCAATGAGTTTTATTTAAGGTTATCTATAAGTCCCTGCCTTAGAGGAGGCAAGATGATAAAAGATTAGGGGATCTTGTTTCATCTGGTCCTTTAAATTTAGCTAGATAACTATCAAATCATTCTAAACACTCATGAATTCAACCTTAGATGTAAGAAAAGAATGTATGGAACTCTACAAGTAGAAAAGCAACCACTTTTTGCAAGGTAAGAGGTACGGAGAAGTGAATCTGAGGGAATATTTTGGAAAATAAAGGGCAGGAAGAAGGAGCCTCAGTAAGCTGGCTACCACTCTATAGGCCTGGAGAACAAAACCAGAACCCCTGAAATCTGCTCCAGGGAGAGGCAATTCCTGCCTTAAAGGTGCTTAGGTGGTGAAAGAGGGCAGAATTCTAGGTGGAAGAACATGGTCTCAGAATCCCTGGAGTCACAGAGGAATGGGGGTGCCTGAGCCAGTAGAGTTCCCAAGCATTGGAGCGAGCAAACTGGTTACACTCAGCGAACCAGGAGGCAGCTCTTAGCTTGGTTCACCATAAACTGTAAGCCACAACCCAACACAACCACAGTTCTTGTGGGGACCCTGCAAAGGACAGGAAAGCAGGGAACTTTCACCCTCCCTTGAGATGGGGGTAGTGGGTACACACACAACGGTGAGACAGCTCTTAGTGCAGGAGTTCTGCAAAAAACAGGAATGTGGCAACCCTCCACCTTCCCCTCAGGAAAAGACTCAAATGCATAAGGTAAAATTAAACCTAAAGGAGCTGGAGAATGAAGAGCAGATAACCTAATCCAAATAGAAGGGAAATAATAAAGATTAGAGCAGAAATCAATGAAATAGAAACCGAAAGAACAGTAGAACAGATCAATGAAACTAGAGGCTGGTTCTATGGAAGAATTAAAATTGATAAACCCCTAGCCAGACTTATCAAAGAGAAAAGAGAAAGGGTCCAAATTAATAACATCATGAATGAAAGAGGAGAAATCATGACCAATACCACGGAAATACAATCAATTTTAAGAACATATTATGAGCAACTATATGTCAACAAATTAGGCGATCTGGAAGAAATTGCCTAATTGCACCCTTGGAAACTTATAAACTAGCAAGACTGAACCAGGAAGAAATAGAAGATCTCACCGGGTGTGGTGCATAAACAATGAATTCTGGAACACTGAAAAGAAAAAAAGAAAGAAAGAAAGAAATAGAAGATCTTAACAGACCCACAGCCAGCAAGGAAATTAAAGCAGTAATCAAAACCTCCCCCCTCCACACAAAAAAGGAGTCCAGGGCCAGATGAATTTCCAGGAGAATTCTACCAAACATTTAAAGAATTAATACCTATTCTTCTGAAGGTGTTTAAAAAAATAGAAATGGAAGGAAAACTTCCATACTCTATCTATGAAGTCAGATTACCTTGATCACAAAACCAGATAAAGGAGAAAGAAGAATTAGAGACCAATATCCCTGTTGAACAGGGATGCCAAAATTCTCACCAAGATACTAGTCAACAGGATCCAACATTACATGAAAAGGTTTATTTGCCATGACCAACTGGGATTTATTTCTGGGCTGTAAGTGTGGATAAACATTTACTAATCAATTAACATGATACATCACATTAATAAAAGAAAAGACAAGAATTATATAATCCTTTAACTGATGCAGAAAAAACATTTGACAAAATTACAGTATCCTTTCTTGGATGCTGTAACTCTCCACAGAATAGTGATAGAGGGAGTAAACCTTAATATCATAAAAACAATCTATGGAAAGCTCACAGCAAATACCATTCTTCATGGAGAAAAATTGAGATATTTTCTCCTAACATCAGGAACATGACAGGGATGCCCACTCTCACCACTGTTGTTCAACATAATACTAGAAGTCCTAGCCTCAGCAAGCAGACAATAAGAAGAAATAAAAGGCATTCAGATTAGCAAAGAAGAAATCAAACTTTCAACTAACATGATAAATCACATTAATAAAGGAAAGGATGAGAACCATATGATCTTCTCAATAGGTGCAGGAAAAGCATTTGACAAAATACAGCATCCTTTCCTGATTAAAACTCTTCACAGTACAGGGACAGATGGAACATATCTCAGTATCATAAAAACCATCTGTGAAAAGCCCACAGCAAAAATCATTCTCAATGGGGAAAAACTGAGATGTGCACTGCACTCTCACCATTATTGTTCAGCATAGTAATAGAAGTCCTAGCTCTAGCAATCAGACAACAAAAAGAAATACACGGCATTCAAATTGGCAAAAAAGAAGTCAAATTTTCTCTCTTCACAGATGACATGATACTTTATGTGGAAAACCCAAAAGACTCCACCTTAAATTACTAGAACTCATACAACAATTTGGCAACATGGCAGGATACAAAATCAGTGCACAGAAATAGTAGCATTTCTATAAACTAACAATGACACAGAAGAAAGATAAATTAAGGAATCTATTCCATTTACAATAGCACCAAAACCCATAAGATAACTAAGAATAAACTTGACCGAAGAGGTAAAGGATCTATATTCTAGAAACTACAGAACACTTATGAAAGAAATGGAGGAAGACACAAAGAGATAGAAAAACATTCCATGCTCATGGATTGGAAAAATAAACATTGTTAAAATGTCTATGCAGTTGGAAGGGGAGGTGAACCATGAGAGACTATGGACTCTGAAAAACAATCTGAGGGGTCTGAAGGGGGGTGGTGGGAGGTTGGGGGAACAAGGTGGTGGGTATTGGAGAGGGCACATATTGCATGGAGCACTGGGTGTGGTGCAAAAACAATGAATACTGATATGCTGAAAATAAATTAAAAAAAATTTTTTTAAATGTCTATGCAGCTCAGAGCAATCTACACTTTCAAGGCACGCCCTATCAAAATACCATTAACACTTTTCACAGAGCTGGAACAAACAATTCTAAAATTTGTATGCATCCAGAAAAGAATCTGAATAGGGGAATGTTGAAAAAGAAAACCAAAGATGGTGGCATCACAATGCTGACTTCAAGCTATATTACAAAGCTGTAATCATCAAGACAGCATGCTATTGACACAAAAACAGAAACATAAATCAATGGAACAGAATACTGAGCCCAGAGATGGACCCTCAACTCTATGGTCAACTAATCTTCGACAAAGCAGGAAAGAACATCCAATGGAAAAAAGACAATCTCTTCAATAAATGGTGCTGGGAAAGTTGGACAGCCATATGCAGAAAAATGAAGCTGGACCATTCTCATACACCATACACAAAGATAAACCAAAATGGATGAAAGTCCTCAATGTGATAAAGGAATCCATCAAAATCCTAGAGAAGAACATAGGCAGTAACTCTTTGACACTGGCCATAGCAACTTCTTTCAAGACATGTCTCTAAAGGCAAGGAAAACAAAGCAAAAATGAAATTTGGGACTCCATCAAGAGAAAAAGCTTCTGCACAGCAAAGCAAACAGTCAACAAAACCAGGAGGCAACCCATGGTAAGGGAGAAGATATTTGCAAATGACATTACAGATAAAGGGCTCATATCCAAGATCTACAGAACTTCTCAAACTCAACACCCAAAAAAAAAAAACAGAAAGTCCTGTAAAGAAATGGGCAGAAGACATGAACAGACACTTCTCCAAAGAAGACTTACAAATGGCTAACAGACACATGAAAAATGTTCAACATCACTAGCCATCAGGAAAATACAAATCAGAACCACAATGAGATACCACCTTACACCTGTCTGAATCGCTAAAATTAACAAGACAGGAAACAACAAATGTTGGCAAGGATATGGATAAAGGAGAACCTTCTTACACTGTTGGTGGGAACACAAGATGGTATAGCCACACTGAAAAACAGTATGGAGGTTCCTCAAGACGTTAAAAATAGAGCTACCCTATGACCCAGCAATTACACTACTAGGGATTTACCCCGAGATACAAATGTGATCCAAAGGGGCACCTGCACCCCAATGTTCATAGCAGCAATCTCCACAATAGCCAAACTATGGAAGGAACCGAGATGTCCTTCAACATGGACATCTCGTTGATGAATGGATAAATAAGATGTGGTTCATACATATAATGGAATATTACTCAGCCATCAGAAAGGCTGAATACTTACCATTTACACTGACATGAATGGAACTGGAAAATATTATGTTGAGTGGAATAAGCAAATCAGAGAAAGACAATTACCATATGGTTTCATTCATATGTGGAATATAAGAAACAGCACAGAGGATCATAGGGTAAGGGAGGAAAAACTGAATGGGAAATCATTAGAGAGGGCGAAAAACCATGAAAGACTCAACTATAAGGGACAAACTGAGGGTTGCTGGAGGGGAGGTTGGTGGAGTGATGAGGTAATTTGGTGATGGGCATTAAGGAGGGCACATGATGTGATGAGCAGTGGGTGTTATATGCAACTGAGAAATTATTGAACACTTCATCTGACACAAGTTTATACTATATGTTGGATAATTGGATTTATATTTTTAAAAAGTTATCTACAATTACTATACTTACTACTGACTCTTTCCCCTTTAGAAGTTCTTTTTTTCTTTACTTGCAGATGGGTTTTTGACATTGAATCTTGAGGCTCAAGCATAAAATTTTCTGGTACTTTATTGTGAGCTACATAAAGAGTGACATTTAGTTCAATAAATGGAAAAACAAATATATTGTGAGATTCTATACTTTCAAATTATTGAAAAATGTATAAAAATAGTTTCTTATATTTTTAAAAAGTTGTAAATAAATTATCTTAATTCTAGATCCAATATGAAAATAGTAAGAAGAGTTTTAATGGATATATATCGAAAGTATCTCATTATTTTATTAATATTCATAGTTCTCAAATGTTTAAATTTAGTCTTTAGTTTTCTTAATACTTTATATTAAAACACAATTATAGACCAAGCAATGAGAATATGTATGTACAAGTTTATTCATTACAGCATATTTGTAATTACAAAATGCTCAAAATCACATAAATGTACAAACATAGGAGATTAGTTTGATAAGCTAAAGTATATAGTATAAACTATGGTAATATTGATTATGGTATATAATATGGTCCAAACAACTGTACATGCAATTATAAAAGGAAAGAAAAAAGGATCTCATCAAATTGGGAGTAATTTCTAGGTTATAATGTTAAGTGGATTAAAAACTGATAGAGAGGTTATCTAGTGAATTCTCTTTTAATAAAGAACAGAAAGAAAATTTTAATGTATATACCTTTATAAAATGAAACATGAGAGATAAATGAGGAAAAAAGACAGGTTTTTTTTCCAAAGTCATTGTAAACCATGCTTGCTGAATTGCACTAAACTACTGTTAGTCTAAGAATATCCCTAGCACTAATGAACAACCTATGATGTAGTAAATTTCTGAGGCCCATTTTTAATGAACCTTCAAAATTGCTTTTCCAGTGAGCTGAAGAGATAATATAATATAGGGCAGTTTGCCTTAATCATTAAGGAGGTAACTTGTGAAACTTAGTGAGGGAATACATCACAACAGAGCCACTCATTCAGAGTGCCCTCACAGTGGTCACTTGCTCAAGGAAGACAAGGAAGCGGGGGAAGGCAATAAGATGAACACCAGATACACTCCTTTCTCAGGTTTGGCCCACCCATATTAAGCATCCTAACACCAAAAATGTTGTTTGAACCACCTTTATAGCCACCTACAAGATGTCCAATTAGCCACTTTGATGGCCCTTTTGTTAAACAATGGGGAGCAAGAGCAGTAAGTAGGTAATGATACTGTTAACTAGCCTCAGATTTACAGGGTCATTTGTGCCATATTTGCTGGTTTCTAGCTCCATTAAACCTCCTTACGAAGTTATATCTGTTGGCTTACAAGACAACCTGGATCTTCACTGACAAATTTCAGGGCAAGGAAAAAACCAGCCAACGTTAAGATAAAAAGTTTGACTAGTGAAAGTAGTGACTTAAAATATGTTAATCAGGAACCTACTTCTTAACAATCAAGGAAATCTTTGGGTCTGGTAACCCAAAAGTGGAGTCTCAAGGATGACATTAATGGACTCTCCATCAAGGATTCATCACCAGATAGTGGTCCATAAGTGACCCAACCCATAGCCACACTAGAAGCCAAATGGTGATGATATCTATGATTAACACAAGTGTTCTTCCTTCTGCACTTCTCAGTAAACCTTGAGATAACCAGAGACCTCTCCTTCCCACATCACCTACTTCTATCCAATCTTTCAACTTTCAATACAAACAAGAACCAGAGTTAGGTCGAGGTCCCTATATCCCTGACTAAGACATAAGGATGTATGCTTAGGTCATACTTCAATGGGAAGGTGGATGAGAATTGAATTTCTAGGACTTTTGGACATTGATATACATATGATTATGATCTCTGTAGCCACTGACACTAGGATGAGGGGGAAATAGATAATGTCCAATTGCTTTGGGTTTGAGTTCACCAAATGAGACCCTTAAAACTCAACTAGGGGTATGTCCCTACAGACCACTAAAAATCTCCATTGCTGTGGCTTCCATTATTGAATGTATTATTGTATAGATGTATTTTCTACATATATCTGACTCACTTTTACCCCTAAGCCCTAGTGGCAACTGCTGTATTTTAGGACCATTTTAGTTTGGCATATATAAAGCTATAAACCTACCAGGCTACTAGTGCCTTGGACCTTGGCCATCTAAAAACAACTACCTGGGGGAGCAAAAAAAAAATATTTGCCTTCCTTGGTAAGTTTAATGAAACAAAAGTCCTCCATGACATTTTTCTCTATTCATAAGCCTTTTCATTCTGTGTGTAAGGCCTTGGGTGCCTAGAGACACAATTGATTATAGTCAGCTCACCACCACAGTACAGAACTCGATGTGGTGTCACTTGGGATTATGACCTTCACAGAGGTTTACTGCCCAGACTGAGTGAAATAGGTATGTAACAATTGCTATCACAAATGCCCGTCCTAGCATCCTTGTTCACACAGGTTAATTAGGATCATAAGTTTACCTTATGTGGAATGGCTTATAATATACTTTTACTGTCCTTCCATAAGCCCAAAACATGAAAAAAAAAAGCCCTTCTTCTAGATAAAGTACTAACCTTCCACTAATATTGATGACATTCTCCTCTGGACCCAGACTAGAGCACTACCCACAAGGACTAGATACTGTAATGACTCGCATGCAGCAACACAGCTGGACCATGAATATATACAAGGTACAAGAACCAAAAACTCAAGTAAAATACTTGGGAGCAAAATGGAAAAGAGTAGTTTTTCTCACGTGAAGCTCCAAGGAGTCAAGTTTCTTTTTTCCTTCTCTAGCCCAACAAATACAAAGGAGGCCCAGCAATTGGTAGGACTATTCAGCTACTGATACTCTCATATTACCCATGCAGGCATCTCAATGGCATCCATCTATAAGGCTACCAAAAAGGCTTCTACCTTTGAGTGGGTCCCAACCAACAGGATGCGTTATAGCTCCTTCAACAGGTCTATCAGGCCCCCTTTTTGTTTAGTTCCTTTGATCCACATTTGACTTTTGAGTTGTGGTTCTCACCAAAGTCTCTACCAATTTGAGTCTATGACAGAAGGACAATGCCACACGTCAGAGGTGACTGTTGGGCTACTGAAACCAACATCTGCCTCAAGATGAGGTACATTGAGATACTATCGATTTGTTGTTGGGCCTTAGTGGATACCGAGCACATTACCCATGGATGTGAAATAGTCTTAGATCCAGAAACCAACAAAAGTTATTAATACTTTGACTTTGTTCTCCAATTAGGATAGTTTAAATCAAAGTGTAGTAAATTTTCGGGGTGCCTGGGTGGCTCAGTGGGTTGGGGCCTCTGCCTTTGGATCAGGTCGTGGTCCCGGGGTCCTGGGATCGGGCCCCGCGTCGGGCTCTCTGGGAGCCTGCTTCACTTCCTCTCTCTGCCTACCTGTGATCTCTGTCTGTCAAGTAAATGGGTAAAATCTTTAAAAAAAAAAAAGTGTAGTAAATTTTCTACAAAATATATGCTCATACACATATTCATGAACCACAGAAAAACCATCTTTTGATATGATTAATTTAAAAATAATTTAGTGATGTATAATTATTATACTTACTACTGAGTCTTTCCCCTTTAGCAATTTTTTGTTCCTTTACTTGCAATTGGATTTTTGACATTGACTCTTGATGCTCAAGCACAGGATTTTCATCTGTCATATTATCATGAACTACATAAAGAGATGCATTTAAAGCACTAAATAGAAAAACAGATCTATTGTGAAAATTCTTAAGTTTCAAACATAACATCTATAGCAGCACTTTCACATGAACATCTATAAATAAATTACTATAATGTAAAATCTGGCATGAAAATGTGATGAGGATTTTTAACGGGTAAGTGTTGTAGCTATCTCCTTAATTCATGAACATTTCTTGCATTAAAAATGTTTTTTTGTCTAATTTTGTGTTATTTATACTTTAGGTTAATGCATATTAATAAGACAAAAGTGAAAATTTATATGTACATTATCATAGCCACATTATTTTTCATTGCAAAATATTCAAAATCTCATAAAATGTCCAAATATAGGAAACTGCCTGAATAAACTAAGTTCTATCCCATCAACTATGCCATGGTATAAATTTTCATGACTAATGTGATAAATAAAGATCTTTACAAACTGACTTAGATGGGTTTCTAGGAGACAATAATAAAAGGGAGAAAAAGGGATAATCTGTACTCAATCTTATGATTTACAAAGAAGAGAAATTTTTAAAAGACAGAGAGAACAAAAATCTCTACCTGGCAGTACTCATGGGGGGGAAACTTGTCACCCAACATGAAGTTTAATGCATAGCCAGTGAACTTTGGAAACTGGAGGTAGTTTCCATAAAGGACTAAGATCAACCCATGCCTTGTACTTATGCATTTTGCATCTCTATGGCAGGTACCTCCATTAGAGGCTCTTTGTGAAAATGGGAGGAGTCAGCTAATACATTGTACATTTCAGGCACTTCGCAACGGATGACTGTACTAGGGGAATTTGAAGATACTTTTCTCATTTTCAATTCAATATTTAGGACTTCTATCCTCCTAGCCATCCTTCATCAACATCTGCAAGGCTCTTGGGTTCAAAAATTAAGAACCTTGTGTTTGAGGCTCTTACAGCTATGAGATGATCTTCCCCCAAACCTCACTCCCATCTGATCCTTTCCTAGTTTGTTCTGTGGAGAAAATGAAACCTTGGTATAGCTGGGGTCTTTTCCTCTTTAGGCTCTTGTTTATACTATTGTAGTAAGTGAATAAAAGTTTAATTGCTACTTTTGATAAAGTAAAATTGCTACAACTTGACAAAGTCAAAACTGGCAGATTTTTCTCTGACAAACTGTCATAGCCAACAATAAAGTAAATTCCTTTCTGGAAGGAGCACTTTGGGAGGAGCTAGTAAGTCTATAAGACTCTTTTGAGGGATACTACTGGATCATTTGCAAAAGTGATAGGGTCCTACAAATTTTATGATTGTTTGTTCCAGCTCTTTGAAAAATGCCGGTGGAATTTTGATCAGGATGGCATTGAAATATAGATTGCTCTAGGCAGTATAGACATTTTAACAATGTTTATTCTTCCAATCCATGAGCATAGAATGGTCTTCCATCTTTTTGTGTCTTCTTCAATTTCTTTCATGAGTGTTCTGTAGTTCCTCAAGTACAGATCCTTTCCTTCTCTGATTAGGTTTATTCCTAGGTATCTTATGGTTCCTGGTGCTATATTAAATGGAATCCATTCTCTAATTTCCCATTCTATATTTTCATTGTTAGTGTATAAGAAAGCAACTGATTTCTGTACATTGATTTTGTATCCCACCACATTACTGAATTGCTGTATGAGTTCTAGTAGTTTGGGGTAGAGACTTTAGGTTTTCCATATAAAGTATCATGTCATCTGTGAAGAGAGAGAGTTTGACTTCTTCATTACCAATTTGAATATCTTTTATTTATTTTTGTTGTCTGATTGCTGTTGCTAGGACTTCTAGTACTATGTTGAACAACAGTGGTGACAGTGGACATTCTTGTCATGTTCCTGATCTCAAAGGAAAGGCTGTCAGCTTTTCCCCATTGAGGATGATAGTCACTGTGGGTTTTTCATAGATAGATTTTATGAAGTTGAGGAATATTCTCTCTATCCCTATACTTTGAAGCATTTTAATCAGGAACAGATGCTGTATCTAAATCATAAAATTTGTATGTAACCAGAAGAGACCCCAAATTGCTAAGGAAATGTTGAAAAAGAAAAACAAAACTGGAGGCATCACGTTGCCTGATTTCAAGCTTTACTACAAAGCTAATCACCAAGACAGCATAGTACTGGCACAAAAACAGACACATAGACCAGTGGAACAGAGTAGAGCACCCAGATAATGGACCCTCAACTTTATGGTCAAATAATCTTCAGCAAAGCAGGAAAAAATATACAGTAGAAAAAAGACAGTCTATTCAATAAATGGTGCTGGAAAAATTGGACAGCTATGTAGAGAAGAATGAAACTTACCCCATACACAAAGATAAACTCAGAATGGTTAAAAGACCTCGATGTGAGGCAGGAATCCATCAGAATCCAAGAGGAAAGCATAGGCATAACCTCTTTGACATCGGTCACAGCAACTTCTTTCAAGACATGTTCCCAAAGACAAAGGAAACAAAAGCATAAATGACCTTTTGGGACTTTATCAGGAGAAAGTTTCTGCACAGCAAAGGAAACAGTCAACAAAACCAAGAGGCAACCCACGGAATGGGAGAGGATATTTGCTAATGATACTACAGACAAAGGGCTGATATCCAGGATCTATAAAGAACTCCTCAAACTCAACACACACAAGATAGATAATCATGTCACAAAATGGGCAGAAGACATGAAGATGAACAGACACTTCTCCAAAGAAGACATACAAAGGGCTAACAGACACATTAACAAATGTTCATCATCATTAGCCATCAGGGAGATTCAAATCAAAACCACATTGAGATACCACATTACACCAGTTAGAATGGCCAAAATTAACAAGACAAGAACAATAGGTGTTGGAGAGGATGTGGAGAAAGGGGAACCCTCTTACACTGTTGGTGGGAATGCAAGTTGGTGCAGCCACTTTGCAAAACAGTGTGGAGATTCCTTAAGAAATTAAAAATAGAGCTTCCCTATGACCCTGCAATTGCACGACTGGGTATTTGCCCCAAAGATACAGATGTAGTGAAAAGAAGGGCCACCTGTACCCCAATGTTCATAGCAGCAATGGCCACAGTCACCAAACTGTGGAAAGAACCAAGATGCCCTTCAATGGCTGAATGGATAAAGAAGATATGGTCCATATATACAATGGAGTATTATGCCTCCATCAGAAGGATGAATACCCAATTTTTGTATCAGCATGGACGGGACTGGAAGAGATTATGCTGAGTGAAATAAGTCAAGCAGAGAGAGTCAATTATCATATGGTTTCAATAACTTGTGGAGTGTAAGGAATAACACGGAGGACATTGGGAGATGGAGAGGAGAAGTGAGCTTGATCCAGCGACCTTAAAAGACCTTAGAGACTTGGTATATCCCCTCCACAATACAAGAGATAATATTTTTAAACTCAGTGAGGGAGATTGGCAATCTACAGGGCTTATTTTTTTTTTAAGATTTTATTTATTTATTTGACAGAGAGAGATCACAAGTAGACAGAGAGGCAGGCAGAGAGAGAGAGAGAGGGAAGCAGGCTCCCTGCTGAGCAGAGAGCCCGATGCGGGACTCGATCCCAGGACCCTGAGATCATGACCTGAGCCGAAGGCAGCGGCTTAACCCACTGAGCCACCCAGGCGCCCCTACAGGGCTTATTAATACAAAATTCCTTCTTGTAGAGCCTGGACAGCAGCCATGTTGCCCACAGAAGTTGAGGAAAGGAAGTGAATGAAAGGACACACATCTCTGAGACTGTCTTCCTCCTCAGCTGGGTACTATTTGGCCTCTGAAATGAAAGCCCATTCATGAAGAGATTCCTCCACTGAAAAACATTTGGATCACTTTTCGGAGACAATAGTGGCCTCCAAGTATCACCCTGGTAGTCCCTCGGGTCTACCCTGATGAACTGAGGATGAGATTTTTAACTAAACTCAGATTTCTAGGTTCATTTGTGCCACAATTGTCTTATGTCAAGCTCAATTAAACTTCTTCATGAGGCCCAGTCAACTGGTCTACCACACAGTTTAGTTCTTAACTGACAATTTTCTGGGCATGGAATAGTAGTTACCATCAAGATAGCAACTACTCACCAACAGAAAAAGTGAGTAAAAATGGTAATTGGGCAGCTACACCTGCACAATCTGAGAAAAGGTCAGGACATGATCTATGTGTACAAAAATAGACACATATATCGACAGAACAGAAAACCAGAAATGAACATACGATAATTTGGCCAATTAATTTTCAATAAAACAGGAAAAAAAATCCAATGGAAAAAATACAGTCCCTTCAACAAACAGTGTTGGGAAAACTGAACAGCAACATTCAGAAGAATGAAACTAGAGCACTTCCTTACAACATACACAAAAATTAACTCAAAATGGATTAAAGACCTAACCGTGAGACATGAAACCATCAAAGTCCTAGAGGGGAACACAGTAACCTTTTTGACAAGGGCCATAGCAACATCTTACTAGATATATCTCCAAAGGCAAGGGAAACAAAAGAAAAAATAAATATTTGGGACTTCATCAAAATAAAAAGCTTTTGCATGATGAAGGAAACAATCAACAAAACTAAAGGCACCTTACAGAATGGAAGAATATATTTGCAAATTACATTTGATAAAGGTTTAGTATCCAAAATCTATAAAGAATTTATCAAATTCAACACCACCCCCAAAATAATCCAGTCTAGAAATGGGCAGCAGACATGAACAGACATTTTTCCAAAGAAGACATCCAGATGGCTAACAGACACATGAAAAGATGCTCAACATCACTCATAATCAGGGAAATGCAAATCAAAACTATAATGAGATATCACCTCCCACCTGTCATAATGGCTAAAATTAACAACACAGAAAACAACAGATATTGGTGAGGATGTGGAAAAAGAGGAACACTTGTACACTGTTGGTGGGAATGCAAACTGGTGCAGGCACTCCAGAAAACAGTATGGAGGTTCCTCAAAATTTAAAAAGAGAATGTCCCTACTATCTAGCAATTGTACTACTAGGTATTTACCCACAGGATACAAAAACACTGATTTGAAGGAATATATGCACTTCCATGTGTATAGCAGTGTTATAAACAATAGCCAAATTATGGAAATAGCCCAAATATCCTTCCATTGAATCTTAACATGAGTCAAAGAGGCCAGCCAATTTTTACTCTGCAAGCTCAGCTTTCAAAAATGAAAATGACTAAGGGGTAGGCCACAACCTGATATACCCAGTGGACACCTATGGACCTCTGCTAAGGAAAGAAATTAACTCAAAAATGGTGTACAATTGTATTTCTTTCTTTTTTTAAAGATTTTATTTGAGAGAGAGAAAAAGAGAGGAAGCATGAGTGTGTGGAGGGAGGGCAAGGGGACAAGCAGACTCACTGCTTATGGGATAGCCCAACAAGGGGCTTGATCCCAGGACCACAGGATTATGACCTGAGCCAAAGGCAGAATCTTAACCAACTGAGCCACCCAGATGTCCCTCCCTGGACAACTGCATTTCTTAATCCCTTTTTAATAGTGGTACAGGTGTGGTTGTAATCACAACCTTTGACATCAGGATGACAAGAATACAAATAATGCTGTCTGGTTTGGGGTTTGAGGCAAACACCAATGGAACTTACCCAGACCAGGCTTTGGGTCCCCTTGAGTCAACAAAAAATTCCATTATTATAGTACCAACAAATAAATTTATTAGTAGTAGTAATATATCATCTATATGCAACTACGCTCACATTCTTCCAAGCCCTGATGGAAATTTCTGCAGTTAGAGCCATTTTGGAGGGGCATAAGAAGACTGTGAGCCTACCTAATTGCCAGCACCTAGCACCTTTGTCTCCCAAAAATCTTCCTGGGAAAGAAGAAAAAAGCTGCCTTCTTTGTTGAGCTTAAGGCAGCTAAATCTGCTTGAAACTATATCTGCATTCAATAAATAAGTTGGTTCATGTGCCTGGCCTTGAGTTTATAGATACTCAATTGAGTTTGGTCATTCAATCCATAGGACAGCCCTTGCTACTACTGACACTGTGACTGTTGTAGAAACTATTGTCCAGAGTGTGGGAACTTGTTATGCAGCAACTGATACTGCAATCCTTTTCAGTATCCCTCTAGATGGGAATTATTAGGATCAGTTCTCCTTATGAGGAAAGGGTACAACTCATCACTCACATCCTTCCACGAAGCTATCTAAATTTTCTATCTGTCATCAATACAGAGATCATAATCTGGAAAAGATCCCCACTACCAGAAGGAGAAATAGCCTTCTCTGCTATTCAAAATAGCATCCTATTGGGTCCAGACAAGGAGCTAACCATCAAGGACTGGACACCCTGCTAATGCCTAGATGGTACACTTGATGGGCCATTTTTATAAAGTTCAAGTACCTACTACCCAGTGAAATTCCTGACCATGATCTACGAGGGGTATGGTGTCTCATTCCAGAAGAGAAGACTGGCTTTGGCACTCTCTGTTCTGACAATTATAAACGAGATATGATGATTGATCTAACTACTCACCTACTTGTATTCTCAATGACTCCCATCAATGGAGTTATAAGAAAGGCCATTTACTTTTAATGGATCCACAACCAGAGAAATGACCTAGAAGCCCTCAAACAAGCCACTGAGGCTATCCATCCTCTGGGCCCCTTTGATCTATTTTTCTTTTTGAGTTACAGATGTCAACAACCTTTCTATTCACCACTTGGAGTTTAAGGAGGAAAAACACTGTCATAGTTCAGAGGCTTCTGTTAGACTTCTGAATCCATCATCTCTAGAAGTAGCTAGCTGAAAGACATACACCCTTTAAGAAAGAATCAGAAATAATCTATTTTGGGGCTTCAGTGGATACTGAGCATATGACCCATGACTATGAAATAGACTCAATACAAGCAATTCCAACCAGAAGTTATTAATAGTTTTGCTTTTGTTCTTTGTCTTAGGATATTCACACTTTAAATCAAAGTACACAAATTCTATAAAATATATGCCCAAATACATATTCATGGACCAAATAAGAAGATCTGATGAATATAATTTAAAATAATTTAGAATTATCTATATTATACTTACTAATAAGTGTTTCATTTCGGGTAGTTCTTTGTTTCTTTACTTGCATTTCTGTTTTTGACTTTGAGTCTTCATGCTTTAACATAAGGTTTTTGTCTGGTACATCATCATGAGCTACATAAAGAGACAGATTTATTATTATTTACTAACCAAAAAAAATGGATCCATTGTGACAGCTCTAGAAATCAAATTTACAACAAGTATATGGCACTTTTATAAATAGAAAATATAAGTAAATTACCATAATGCTAGAACTAACATTATGGTGAGAAGAATTTTAATGTGTGTGTGTTGAAATAGAAATAATGAAGTAATTGACTACTTCATTATTTCACAAATATTTCTTGGCATAGAATATATTTAATATTAGTCCCTACATTTTGGTTACTTATAGTTTAATATATATTCATAGACTTAATAGTGAAAATGTATACATATAAGATTATTCATTATACTGTATTTATAATTGCAAAATACTCAAAGGCACCCAAATATATAAGAATATGAGATTGGTTGAATAGCAAAGTAACATCAACTATGATGTACAAGTGATACAAAGAGTTATACATGCAGTTCTAAAAGTAATTTAAAAAAAAATCACTAAAACCCAACTTGAAAGGATCACTATGAGGTAAGGTTATGTGGGAAAAAATGCAAATGGGAAGCTATCAAGTATACTTTTGGGAAAAAAATGAAACGGAAAAAGAAAATAAATACTTACCTTTAGAAAAATAAACACAGGAAAGATAAACCAAAAAACAAAGTAGTTGTTTACCAAAAATTGCGTAGACCCTGCATGTGGAGTTGCCTGCAATTACAACTGATAGATCTAAACATGTCCCTGGCACTGATGACAGCCTATAATGCAGTGAATTTTTCTTTACTTAAAAAATATTTAAGACACCCAGGATCACTTTGCCTAGTGACCCAAAGAAACCATGGATCGGTTACCTCTAACATAAAGGCAGTAATCTTATTAAACTTAGGGACAATGGCACTTTGTGAAGTGTGTCACTGAAGACTCCCTCATTCAGAATGTCTTCAGTCTTCCACTATATACTGATACCCTCCAGAAATACTGATACCCTCCACTGAACCTAGAAAATGGTACTACCCAACAAAAACAGAAGGCACATGGACTCACCTGTGGTAACAAGTCTCAGTCATTAATTAAAAAAAAAAAAAAAGGCACAAGGACCTGGTATCCAAGTAAAATCTCTGGGAGTAAACTGGGAAGGGGCAGTATGTCTCATTCCATAGGTGATAATTGCTAAGCTTTAGTTTATTTAAGCTCTAATAAATACAAAGGAGGCCCCAAAACTGGTAGGACATTTCAGCTACTAGAATGCTTTGGCATTCACCACGAGATCATCATGATGACATTCTTCTATCAGGATACAATAAGGTCTCTATCTTTAAGGAGGACATGAAAATAGAATGCCTTTGGGGAGGGTGTCTTCCAACATGCCACCCACTCTGCCCATCCCCATGGCTCTTCTGACTCACATTTGTGTTTGCCAGAGACCTGGCAGGCCAGAAAGGACTGGCAAGATATATTCAGAGCACTAAATGAGAAAAATATGCAGCCAAGAATACTATATCCAGCTAGGCTGTCACTGATATCTCTCTCAAGGAGAGATAAGAAGCTTCCAGGACAAACAAAAGGTATTCAAATTGGCAAAGAAGTAAAACTCTCTCTCTTCACAGATGACATGATACTTTATAAGGAAAACCCAAAAGACTCCACTCCCAAACTACTAGAACTTATAGAGCAATTCAGTAATGTGGCAGGATACAAAATCGATGAAAAGAAAACAGTTGCTTTCTTATACACTAATAATGAAAATAGATAAAGGAAATTAGAGAATCAATGCCATTTACTATAGCATCAAGAACTATAAGATACCTGGGAATAAACCTAAGAGGTAAAGGATCTGTACTCGAGGACCTACAGAACACTCAAGAAAGACATTGAAGAAGACACATAAAGATGGAAGACCATTCCATGCTCATGGATTGGAAGAATAAACATTATTAAACATTATTAAACATACTGCCTAGAGCAATCTATATTTCAATGCCATCCTGATCAAAATTCCACTGGCATTTTTCAAAGAGCTGGAACAGGACAAACAAAACTAAAAGAATTTGGAAACATCAAAGCTACCCTACAGGAAATATTGAAAGGGGTCCTCTAAGCAAAGAGAGAGCCTAAAAGTAACAGACCAGAAAGGAACAGACATTAGACAGTAACAGTCACCTTACAAGCAATACTATGGCACCAAATTCAGATCTTTCAATAGTTACCCTGCATGTAAGTGGGCTAAATGTCCGAATCAAAAGACATAGGGTATCATAATGGATTAAAAAACCACAAGACCCATTGATATGCTATTTCCAAGAAACTCATTTTAGACTCAAAGACACCTCCAGATTTAAAGTGAGGGGGTGGAAAACAACTTGCCATGCCAATGAACATCAAAAGAAAGCTGCAGTGGCAATCCTTACATAAGACAAATTAGATTTTTACGTCAAAGATTATAAGAGATGAGGAAAGACACTATACCATACTTAAAGGGTCTGTCCAACAAGAAGATCTAACAATTTAAAGTATCAATGTCTCTAAAATAGCAGCAGTAAATTATATAAACCAATCAATAACAATATCAAAGACACATCAATAATAACAGAATAATAGTAGGGGACTTTAACACCTCCCTCACTGAAATGGACAGATCATCGAAGCAAAAGATCAACAAGGAAATAAAAGCCTTAAATGACACACTGGACCAAATGGACATCATAGATATATTTAGAACATTCCATCCCAAAACAACAGAAAACACATTCTTCTCTAGAGCACATGTAACATTCTCCAGAATAGATCACATCCTGGGTCACAAATCAGATCTCAGCTAGTACCAAAAGACTAGTATCATTCCCTGCATGTTTCAGACCACAATGTGTTGAAACTAGAACTCAACCACAAGGAAAAGTATGAAAGAACTCAAATACACCATGGAGGCTAAAGACCATCCTACTACTAAAGAATAAATGGATCAACCAGGAAATTAAAAAAGAATTTAAAAAATTCATAGACACAAATGAAAATGAAAACACAACTGTTCAAAATCTTTGGGTCTCAGCAAAGGTGGTTCTGAGAGGAAAGTATATAGCTATACAAGCCTTTCTCAAGAAACAAGAAAGGTCTCAAGTACACAACCTAACCCTATACTTAAAGGAGCCAGAGAAAGAACAGCAAAGAAAGCCTAAACCCAGCCGGAGAAGAGAAATAATAAAGATCAGAGCAGAAATCAATGAAATAGAAACCAAAAGAACAGTAGAATAGACAACAAAACTACGAGCTGGTTCCTTGAAAGAATTAATAAGACTGACAAACCCCTAGCCACTCTTATCAAAAATAAAAGAGACACATAGACCAGTGGAACAGAGTAGAGAGCCCAGATATGGACCCTCAACTCTATGGGCAAATAATCTTCGACAAAACAGGAAAAAATATACAGTGGAAAAAAGACAGTCTCTTCAATAAATGGTGCTGGGAAAACTGGACAGCTATATGTAGAAGAATGAAACTCGACCATTCTCTTACACCGTACACAAAGATAAACTCAAAATGGATAAAAGATCTCAACGTGAGACAGGAATCCATCAGAATCCTAGAGGAGAACATAGGCAGTAACCTCTTCAATATCAGCCACAGCAACTTCTTTCAAGATATGTCTCCAAAGGCAAAGGAAACAAAAGCCAAAATAAACTTTTGGGACTTCATCAAGATCAAAAGCTTCTGCACAGCAAAGGAAACAGTCAACAAAACAAAGAGGCAACCCACGGAATGGGAGAAGATATTTGCAAATGACAGTACAGACAAAAGATTGATATCCAGGATCTATAAAGAACTCCTCAAACTCAACACACACAAAACAGACAATCATATCAAAAAATGGGCAGAAGATAGGAACAGACACTTCTCCAATGAAGACATACAAATTGGCTATCAGACACATGAAAAAATGTTCATCATCACTAGCTATCAGGGAGATTCAAATTAAAACCACATAGAGATATCACCTTACACCAGTTAGAATGGCCAAAATTAGCAAGACAGGAAACAACATGTGTTGGAGGGGATGTGGAGAAAGGGGAACCCTCTTCCACTGTTGGTGGGAATGCAAGTTGGTGCAGCCTCTTTGGAAAACAGTGTGGAGATGCCTCAAGAAATTAAAAATAGAGCTTCCCTATGACCCTGCCATTGCACTACTGGGTATTTACCCCAAAGATACAGATGTAGTGAAAAGAAGGGCCATCTGTACCCCAATGTTTATAGCAGCAATGGCCACGGTCGCCAAACTGTGGAAAGAACCAAGATGCCCTTCAACGGACGAATGGGTAAGGAAGATGTGGTGTATATACACTATGGAGTATTATGCCTCCATCAGAAAGGATGAATACCCAACTTTTGTAGCAACATGGACGGGACTGGAAGAGATTATGCTGAGTGAAGTAAGTCAAATAGAGTCAATTATCATATGGTTTCACTTATTTGTGGAACATAACAAATAGCATGGAGGACATGGGAAGTTAGGAGAAGGAAGTTGGGGGAAAATGGAAGGGGAGGTGAACAAAGAGAGACTATGGACTCTGAAAAACAATCTGAAGGGTTTGAAGAGGTGGGGGGGTGGGAGGTTGGGGGAACCAGGTGGTGGGTATTAGAGAGGGCATGGATTGCATGGAGCTCTGGGTGTGGTGCAAAAACAATGAATACTGTTATGTTGAAAATAAATTTTAAAAATGATTTAAAAAAATAATTTAAAAAAGTATCAAAAAAAATAAAAATAAAAATAAAAGAGAAAGCACCCAAAGTAAGAAAATCATGAATGAAAGAGGAGAGATCAAAACCAATACCAAAAAAAAAAAAAAAATACAAACAAGTAGAAGAACATATTATGAGCAACTATACATCAGCAAATTTGACAATCTGGAAGAAATGGATACATTCCTAGAGAAGTATAAACTACCAAAACTGAACCAGGAAGAAACAGAAAACCTGAACAGACCCATAACCAGTAAGGAGATTGAAGCATTCATTAAAACTCTCCCAACAAACAAGAGCCCACAGCCAGATGGCTTCCCATGGGAATTCTACCAATCATTTAAAGAATTAATTCCTATTCTCCTGAAACTGTTCCAAAAATAGAAATGGAAGAAGAACTTCAAACTCATTTTATGAGGCCAGCACGACCTTGATCCCAAAACCAGACGAAGACCCCATCAAAAAGGAGAATTATAGACCAATATCCTTGACGAACATGGATGCAGAAATTCTCACCAAAATACCAGCCAATAGGATCCAACAGTACATTAAAAGGATTATTCACCATGACCAAGTGGGATTTATTCCCGGGCTGCAAGGTTGGTTCAACATCTGCAAATCAATCAATGTGATACTATACAGTAATAAAAGAAAGAACAAGAAACATATGATACTCTCAATAGATACTGAAAAAGCATTTGACAAAGTACAGCATCCTCTCTTGATCAAGATTCTTCACAGTGTAGGGATAGAAGGTACATATCCAAATATCATAAAACCCATCTGTGAAAAACCCACAGCGAATATCATGCTCAACTGGGGAAAAAATGAGAGCTTTTCCCCTAAGGTCAGGAACACAACAGGGCTGTCCACTATCACCAATGTACTCAACATAGTAG